TCCCCACCCCCCATTTCAAGACATCTAGATACGCCACCTACTTACATGGCCAAATGAATTAAAATGCTCAATCGATGTTCCACTAAATCGTAACCAGCCTTCACCATGCCCTCACGATATCACCGGGGACGCAACTGCCAAAAAACTATTTTTGGCAGCGAAAGGACACTACCAATAAACAATCAACAAACTACCGGGTTTCTAGGTTGATTTGCAAAGTACTACATGGCTCAACTATTTTTACTTAGGGGTTAATTGGTAAAAATCGCACACAAAACATACGACGTCACTGACAACGCCGGAGACGGCAACCCGATTTTGAGATTAATTTTCCGAATAAAGTTATACTAATTAACTTCTAATGACAAACTATTGTATTCACTTGTCTTTGTTGGTCATTCAACTGTCATTTTATCTATTTTTCGGTGATATTACCATTCTCAATAATCTATAAAACACCCACATAACAACGTCACGTTCGATCGATCGGTGGGGACGCCGTGGTGACGCTACTAGGATCAATTTTCGTCGGAAGGTATCAAGATGATGAACAGTTTTATTGGACTAAATTATTGCTTATGTTAACCACATGCTTACCTAAGATTATACTGACACTGGTTTCAAATCACGGTCAAGTAGTTAAAAATCACCTAAAATCATCTTATTTTGCGAATTAGCGCCCCTCAACTGATCATCGAGCTCCGAGCCACTTCACCTTCGAGCCCCCATCAACCCCCCCCCCCCCCCACATTTCAAGACATCTAGATACGCCACTTACTTAAATGGCCAGATGAATGAAAATACTCAATCGATGTGCCACCATATCGTAACCAGCCTTCACCATGCCCGGCACAATGTCACCGGGGACGCAACTGCTAAAAAAAACTATTTTTGGCAGCGAAGGGACGCTACCAATAAACAATCAACAAACTACCTGGTTTCTGGTTGATTTGCAAAGTACTACATGGCTCAACTATTTTTTACTTAGGTGTTAATTGGTAAAAATCGCACACAAATCATACGACGTCACTGACAACGCCGGGGACGGCAACTCGATTTTGAGATTAATTTTCCGAATAAAGTTATACTAAATAACTTCAATGACAAACTATTGTCTTCAGTTGTCTTTGTTTGTCATTCAACTGTCATTTTATCTATTTTTTCTGTGATATTACCATTCTCAATAATCTATAAAACACCCACATAACAACATCACGTTAGATCGATCGGTGGTGACGCCGGTAGGGTCAATTTTCATCGGAAGGTATCAAGACGATAAACATTTTCATTGAACAAAATTCTTGCTTATGTTAACTACCTGCTTAGCCTTACCTATACTGACACTGGTTTCAAACAAAGAACACTTTAATTTTAGCTTTTTTCCTATGTACGTAGTTATTCCATTTTTAGAGTGTGGGTGTGCGCCCGCGAGAAATTGGACGGTTGGTTAAAAGTTGCTTGATCCTTCTATATTAAAAGAGATTGTTTGTTTAAGTAATAAGAAGTTTAGACCGCAAAACCTTGGAATATTTGCGCCAGGCGAAGAAACTCCGATTTCGGAGTAACTCTGTTTTCTATATCTAATCATTATTGGTATTGACAACTTTGAAAAAAATTATCACTTCAGCTTCCAAAACCAAAACATTTTGAATAAAACAAGAAACAAAGAGTTTGAAATGTAACCATCTAATTTACTTTCAAATCCTCTTTCTTCAAAGTGAAATTCTACATTTTGGAAATTTTGCACGAAATCGAGGTTGCTTCCCCTATTGTATTTCAAGCATCATGAGGCTATCCAAACGAGAATTTGTCATAACAGAACGCAAATTATTTTTAATTAGTTTCATTGAACTATTATTATTATTATTATTATTATTATTATTATTATTATTATTATTATTATTATTATTATTATTATTATTATTATTATTGTGATGAAAACACAAATAGCTCAATGAAAACAATATGGTGGTAACAACATTACATGTATTTTTTTTTATTTGTTTATACCCCGACAAAATTTACTCGTCTTACCGACGGAGGAGTGGGTGGGGGTGCTCTGACGCCACCACTGGATTCAAATCTGCTGTATCCCTTGCTGTGCCATTTTCGAGAGGTGAATAGGCCCTAATTGTAACTTCTGTTTACCCCACGGTGAGGCTTGGCTAAATTTGACGAACGTTTTGAGGTATTCGTCGCTAAATGGAATAATTACTCAGAAAGTAATCATTACAACAACATTTGATAGGCATTATTATAGTTGCTTAAAAGTAATATTGAGGCAATCGAATGGATTGAATATATTCTGAAAATACACTTGTTGCTTTCCTCCATGCTTTCAGCGTCCATCGCGCAACGCGGCCAAACTGCGGTATCGTCGTGTAATGAAGCTTTCACTTTCTTGGTAATTATTGTTGCACATTTCTTTAGCGATTGTGCCTCTGTTACAAAAAATAAATAATAAAGTTAAAGTTGGTCTGGCACCTCGCACATCATGGCAACATCCGATGAGATGAGTTTAAAAATTGAATAAAAATAGAAAAAATAAAGTTTCTTCACTTTTTACTTTTGTTGTCAATTCCTAATATATGTAAATATGTCATATGTGATTTTCATCCATGTAGCTTTCATATTTTTGGCACAACAAAAATAAATATAACCCAGACAGTGTATTAAGATAGCCTTTCTGCCGCCAGTTAGGGCGCCGCCAGCGTTTCAGCCAGGTCCATCATGGGTCCAAACCTCCAAACGTAAACATTGCAAGGGTCTATGATGGGATGGATGGACTTGTGATAGGATAAAATAAATGTACTGTAATTGTAAAAGTAAAGGTCACTGGATTGGGAAGTATTCTACAATGTTTGATGTTTTGGGGCTGTTCTTTATTTGTTTGCAAAATACTGTTGAACTTCCTGTCCTTTTCCTTACTTGGAGGTGATGATAAGGTAGGCACGAACGCTGGGCTACTCCTAGCTTAAAGTTAAGAGGGTCATAAAACTAGGCAAGGCCTGGAGGCTGACGCTAGGTAGGTAGGAGGCTAGGCATAGACTAGGTCCAGGCCTAGCTTTCGTCTTCATAAACAACATGCCCCGGGAACAGGCTTGAATTTTGCTGTACCTACCACCACTAGCCTGGGCCTAGAGTAGCTTAGCCCCCGCCCCAATCTATGCCTGCTACTAACTAGGTCTAGACTAGTGTCTAGCCAGTCTCTGGCATAGGCCTGGGCCTGGCCTAATTTAGGTACGTAACAAGAAAATTAAAAATACAAGGAATTCCTTTGCAGCCAGTACCATTTGAAAGAGCATTAATTTAGCATTACAGAATTCGATCCAACTCGGCCACAGTCAGCTCGGCCACAAGTCAACTCGGCTACAAAAAGTTCGGCTACATTCAACTCTGCCACAATTCAACTCGGCCACAAGTCAACTCGGCCACAAGTTAACTCGGCCACAAATCAACTCGGCCACAAGTCATTTTTTTTTAAATTTATTTATTTATTCAGGTATAATTTACTGGTGCTAACTACACTTTGAAGGAGTAATTTATCAAGTATAAAATACTAATTCCTTAAGTATTACTATACTTATTGTTATTATTATTGTTGTTATTATTATTGTTGTTTTTATTACCATTAGTTTTAATATTAATTATTAGTCTTAGCATTAACGTTTTGTAATGTTTAAATTTTTGCTAATAAATAATAAATAATTCTCGATTTTTTTATTCATATTATTATTATTATTATTGTTATTATTGTTATATATTAGTCTTAGTATTATTATTTTAATAATAGTAATTTATAAAATATTGTTATTGGTGTTTTTATTGGTATTTTTCTCATATTATTATTATTAATTGTTGTTGTCACCTTTATTATCGATATTATTACCCTATTATTACTAAGTAGGCCTAGTCTTATAAGTATCATCATTATTATTATTACTAATTAGATTTACTATTATTATAAAAATAAACATCTTTAATTTATTATTGCTGTTATTATTGCTATTATCACATTCATTATCATTATTATCACTAATTAGTATTATCAAAATAGATATTTAAATATCATTATTAATTATTACTATTGAGTATTGTTAAAATAAATATTACTATTAATATTGTTGTTGTTATCACCTTTATTATCGTTATTATGACTAATTAGTATTATTAATGTAAATATTTGAAAAGGAAGTGTCACTGACATATCACCAGTGATTCACATCATTGGACGCATCCTTGTCACTGACGGGTTTCAAACATAGCCCCCAATGGTCGAACAAATATGAAGGACTGAAGCGAAATGTCTGTCACTCAACAATACCAATTGTTCCTATTGTGGAAAATTGAAGGCCTACTAGATGCTATGCACCCCACCTAATTTTAACGTAGGCCTAATTCTTGGGTGTGGTTCTAAAGAAAATAGTATCGAAAAGCACGCCATCGTGCATTCATTTGATTTTAGTCGGATTCAAAATAAATTTTTAACGTTTAAAAAATCATAATGTGGTTTTTCTACTTCAATTTTTTATGATTAGGTCTACAGTATGTACTCATGTTTTATGTCAGTGTTTTAACGTGAAAAAAAATTAAACATTAATATACCGGTATGTGTTTTTCTTAATTATTAAGATTGCTTAAATTGTTAATGTTACATTATTGTCAGATTTTATTCCATTCTGTAAGTGGCGGGTTTTCTCTGTTGAATAAGAGTACAGTGTTAAGAAATGAATACTACGATCTCACGACGATGATCAGAATTTTACTAAAATATACTGTGTACTTCATTACAATCATATTGAAGAAAAAGGATGCAAAAACTGAGTAATATTTACATTTCATTTTAATTATAAATAACTTGTGGCCGAGTTGACTTGTGGTCGAGTTAACTTGTGGCCGAGTTGACTTGTGGCCGAGTTGACTGTGGCCAAGTTGACTTGTGGCTGAGTTGACCTGCTTCCGCATTACATTATAGCATGATATAGCAAGATCATTGTCCTCCATCAAATATCAACAAAGTTACAGAATTTAAGAAATTAATTATTATGCCTAATTTTGGTCCTTCAAAACCAATGTAAACACATAAACAGTATGTGACCTTTTTCTTGAAAAAAAAACAAAAAAAAAACTGCTTACCAAAACTAATTACCATTATAATTATAGAGACATACCTCAATGTATAAAGACATTATGCTCAAAAAGACTCAAATACAAGATATGAATAAATATACCAATTAACACAGTTAAATTGGTTTCAGAGCAATATAATCTTGGATTGAGTTAACAAAGCAAAACATAAAATCATGACTCTGTACATATCCCGTCACATGTACAGAGTCACGATTTTATGTTTTGTTTTATTAACTGAATCCAAGATTATGATTGAATTTTAATGAGTTGACCAGTGGATATTGGCCCTTGATTGCACATGCAGCATTGAATAAAAATTGAATTGAGTTTAATTATTTGGTCAAAGATGAAGAGAGCATCAAGAGCAAAGATTATCATAAAATCAACTATTTGTAAATTTGATGTTCGTAAAACAGATTGCATTCTTTTGTACTCGATGTGTGCTAATCTTTCAGACCAATGAGAGAGCGCCACTTTTTTAAAGCAAATTGATATTTAAATAAAAATACTATTGTAAAAATTAAACATCATCATTTGTTCATTGCTTTCAATAGCTCCCGGTAGTTAAACCTGTGCTGTGTTGTGTGCAATTTTACCCAGCAATCTAGTTAAAATGTTTGAAGATAAATTCAGTGCTGTGATATTTGTTCTCTACATAGTATTGTCAGTTAATCAAGGTATGTATCTTTATGTCGTCTCATTTCACACAATCCATTTATTGTAATAATCCTGTACCAAGCAAAGAGTTAAGCCACATACATACTTAGTTTTAGTTTTATACCGCCGTGGTATACAAGGTATGAAGCGTAAAACAAACTAGGATTGTCAAGATGTATTGTAGGGTTGGGGGACAAACATCAGAGAAAATGATTTGAACATGTATTAGCTGCGCAAATTGTATGTCTGCTTATCTGTAATATATTGCTGTTGGCTCAAAATATGCCTTTTTTGTAACTAGCAATAGGTTTTCACAACAATTACAAGTTTTATTAAAGATGTATAGTTCCCTGAAGTATGAAAAAAAATCATTAAAAATTATTTTGAAATTAACTTCCTAATTTTTTCACTCATTTTTAATATTTGATAGTGCACTGTACTTTTTATTAATGATTTGTAAATTGTTAATAATATGTAATTTTTTATCCAGTCACACAATTCAGCATATAATGCAATGTACTGTTTTGTATGTGATTTTTATGCAATTTGAATATACCCAAATATAATTTAATAAAAAAAAAAACTTCTAGTGAATGAAAGTGTTTCAAACGTTTTTCTTTGTAAAAGTATTGGTAAACAGTTTTTAAGTATGTTAATTTCTATGTTCAAATTGATAATTTTCATGTTACTTCAAAATCACCAGGTTAATTTTAAAAATAATTTTTTAAATTTTTGTTTTGGTAAATTTTGGTATATTGCATAGGACAGTACATTGTTAAATCAACCTCCAAATTTGCTGCCCCCAGATCCGCCAATATGAATTGCAAGAAAATGTAACTCGGTCGGGTACTGGATAAACATTCTCTTTCCCATCTTTCTCCTCCTTCTTCCCTTTTTTTTTTTTGCATTTCCGATCATACAAAAATCTCCAGACATTATATATTTTTCGCCAAAAAGTGGGGGGGCCCAGGCCCCCCCGGTTCCGCCGGCCATGTTTAAGTATGTTAATTTCTATGTTCAAATTGATAATTTTCATGTTACTTCAAAATCACCAGGTTAATTTCAAAAATAATTTTTTAAATTTTTGTTTTGGTAAATTTTGGTATATTGCATAGGACAGTACATTGTTAAATCAACCTCCAAATTTGCTGCTGAACAAATTTAATTATTCATACAATTATTTAAATTGTTAATTTTATTTATTTATTTAAATTTTAACAATATCAATATTTTGAATTGCACTTTACTTTTTAAAAATATTGAATAACATGAATATTAAATGAAAAGTTTATCTTGTATTTAAATTTTAACAATATCAATATTTTGAATTGCACTTTACTTTTTAAAAATATTGAATAACATGAATATTAAATGAAAAGTTTTTCTTATATTTAAATTTAACAATATCAATATTTTGAATTGCACTTTGCTTTTTAAAAATATTGCATAACATGAATATAATAAAAAAGTTTTTCTTGTATTATAGGTTTAATTGTGACAGCTGCTAAGAACAGTGACAATGAATATTCATTCAACTTTACAACTGTTGTTCTGATAATGGAATTCAACAAGCTGTTTGTGTCTGTGGCTGCTTATTTAATGAAGTGAGTTGAATACCGTTGTTTCTCTGGTATAGGCCCCCCCCTCCTCCTCCTCTTGAACATAAACAATTGCTTACTGTATACCTGGGGAATTCCTTTTTAATCAAATTGCAGTTTTTTGGCACTATGCCGAATTCAAAGCCAATATTTGATGTTTTTTCTGGGAATGTTTGCAAAATTCACACTCAGGGCTTTTGCCTGAGGAAGGTTGGTACATAAAAGTTAAGGTTATTCATTTATATTGCATTTGCATAAAGTGGGGAGTGTGTGGGCTTGTGCATGAGATGGGCTTGTACCCAATGAACTACCATATTAACCAACATATTTATTGAAAAAAAACACCACAAATTTAGTAGCTATTTCATTGTGAAAGATAATGGCTTTTCCATTAGGAAGTGAGGGGCTTTTTGTGCTTCCAAATTCAATATACAGTAACGGCCACAAGTTCAATATATAGATTGTGCTTTTAAATCACCTGGTCTCCTTTGACCCGGAGTATGAATTGGTATTTTGAATAGAATTATATTCAATACTATTTACTACAAAGCCACCACTGAGCAAATATCAGCTTACTAACAAAAAAAAGAATTTGCAAAATTTAGTACACCAGTCACAATAAAACTTTGATAATAATAAGGGCAAAATCATTGTTACAGAAATTGGTATTTTGGGTTCCTTAGCAGATTTTAGAAGTTTTCGATTTGTCGGGCTATGGGCAATACTTTGCTTTTTTCCTAATATGACTAGATACCTGTGGTCTTGTTTTGCTTCATTCTACACAATCTAAATATAAAGGAAATCGCTCCCTAGTGTAATGAAAAAAGTCTTTTTTTTTTTTGCATTTGAGGCAAAAATGGTCACTATTAACTTTTAATTTATAATTTAACAATTAAATTTATAGTTATCCTTTATTCTTTTCTAGGAATTCTGTGCAGTCACTACAAGGAGAAATTTTCCAAAACATTAAATGTATGATATTTTATTTTTATACTATATTCAAATTATGTTTGTGTGTTTTTTCATATTTTATGTGTCATGACAAAATGAGTTGTTGTATGCAACATCAATTTGATATATTCAAGAAAAGTTGTAGTGTTTCTGTTGAGTTCAATACGTACTGTGTATTTTACAGGTGGGCAAAGTGCGGCCCGCAGGCTGCATGTGGCCAGACAGCGATTTTTTTGCGTCCCTCAAAAATGAAATAAAAGCCCTCTATGTGCGGCCCGCCAAGCAACATTGGCTAGAAAACACCTTGATTTGACGACCCGACACCGATCATATGTAAAAAGTAACATTTAAACTAGAAATAAAGAGGTGTAAAAGCAGTGCTTGGAGGTTTTTGGAAGGTCACTGGAAGCATCCAAGTTTGGGTGCGGCGCTCGTTGTTAAATCAGAAATTCGCTTTGGCCCTCCGACCAATTTTTATGCCCACCCCTGGTGTATATCATGTAAGGCAGGACTTTTTTTTCATGTCATTATCGTGTCTATTGTAAATGTAGCTTAACATGTAGTGTCTTGCTTATGTTGCCATTTTTTTTTCTCTCTAGTGGCTTTGCTGTATATGTTACCAGCTGCTCTGTACTGTCTCTATAACAACCTGCAGTTTGTGAACCTCACAAATTTTGACCCCACCACCTACTACATTCTCCTGCAATCTCGGATCGTTATTACTGGATTCATCTATCAGGTTAACTATATATTCAGATTTTAAAAAAATGAAGTGTTAAAAAAATGAGGCTTGCATTCCCATCTGGCCTGCACTCTGCCCCTATCGCTAATAATAATCATAATTCATAAATTTTGTTACCTTGCAACCCCAACCATAGTGAGGTTGAGGTGGTCTATACACCATCACCATCTGTGAAAGTCTTTCTTGGGCCCCCTCTAATTAGAATTCCTGGATCTGCCACTGATTAGAAAAATATCTCATCCAGAAGTAATTTTAACATACTGTATATACTGTACTGTATTAAAACTGTTTACTGGATAGTTTTTTCTAGGTTTCCTTAAATTTTTCAAAAATATTTTTTTCTTGTATTTTTTTTAATATTCTTTCTGTTTTTCATATTTGTTATAGATGTTTTTCTCTGTTCGCCTTAATCTAAAACAGTGGATGTCGCTTGTTATTCTAACTTTTGGGTGCATAATTAAGCAAGTGGATTTACTGAACCTCCATCAGCTGTCAACATACGACGTCCAAATCCTCAGCTACGCTGCCATCTTGATCCTCACGCAGGTTACCTGTTCCTCATTAGCCAGCGTTTACATTGAACTACTCTTAAAAAGCCGAAGTAACAAAGTCGACATCTGGGTTCAGAACATTTTCATGTACTCCGCGTCTATTGTCTGTAACATGTTTATTCTCTGGTTTAACGGTAATCTATTTGATGCAATCTCATCAGAGAATATTGACTCTTTATGTAAGTTTCCGGTGCTATTTATAATAGTCAACTGGGTGGGGTTGGGTTTGGTTACAAGTCTTTTCCTGAAAAAGCTTAATTCCATTTTAAAAACATTCGCCAGTGCCGTGGACTTGCTACTGATAGCTATTCTATCAAACTACTTTTTTGCAGTTCCGTTAACAGTTTTCACAATCATTTCTGTTGTAATAGTGATGTTAGCAATTTGGATATATTCCAAAGATCCAATCAGACCAAAGGTGGTTGTAGAAAGCAATACAATTATAGCAAGTATAATACAAATATTGAGATGATCAGAATGATAATGTTGTTGTAATGTTGTTTAAGTTGCAGTTGTGGTTTGTTCAAGTTGAGTGCTATGGCGAGACTGTTTTTATACTTTGTTTAGCCGGCTGCCTACAATGATGATTTCAAATAAAAATGAAACTTATTTTTGGCCAATAAGCGCACCCTCCGACACATATTTATACACACTCTATATATACTGTACATATGCACAATTAACACTCTTCTCAGAAGTAGAAAATGTCACTGAAATGGAATAATCTGCTTCACTAAGAAGTAAAACATATTTGCGCACACATATTATGTTGATCATAATTATTTAACATTAACGTGGAAATGAAAGTAGAAGCAAAACTTTTGTAGTTAAAGCTAGACCTGTGCTAGGGCTCTAGTTTATATTGTTAGTTAATATAATTTACAATGTGTAACTTATACTGTACAGGTGCAGATCTAAATAAAAAAAATAAATAAAAAAATAGGTAGGGAGGGGCCATGGGACTATCCTATGTGTGTGTGTTTATAAAAAAAAAAAAAACTGTAATCGTATTTTGGTACAACATGTTTTTATAATATCAAATTTGATTTTATATTTAGGTCAGTATGTAACACTGGGCATTTAAAAGTAGATTTGTGATGTCAGTGGTACCACCCTCAGGATTATAATCTTTATTTAAAGAACTGATAAAAAATTGATGCATCTTTACCCTATCCTGGTCCCTGGGTCACAGTGTACAATCGAGGGAGGTTGAACAATGCAGGGTTAACAAAACTACATCATGCAGGCGAGCAGTACCTGCTCGTATGCATAGGGCTATTGTCTACATCGAGCCTGAAACATCGCAATCCAGGCCCAGTGAAAACATCTAGGGCAGAGGTAGGCATTCAAATGGGTCGGAGGGCTAAACTGCACCTCCAAAAAGCTTCATACACTGTTTTATGGCCACTCTATGCTCAGTTTTACTACTACTTTTTACAGATGATCAGTGCCGGGCCAAAAAAAAGGTGTTTTCTAGCCAAAGATGGTTGGCGGGCCGCATACATAGGGTTTGTAATTCATTTTTGCGTGCCCCAAAAAAAATCTGACGGGCCACACTTTGCCCACCTGTGATCTACGGACTAGTTTACACAACCAGCAAATAACTGAACAAGGCATAACCATCAAACTTAATTTTGATATACAGTACTCTGTACTATTTTTCTGTAAGGAATGATATTAGGTAGATGTTGAATTTTGTAATTTATCCAGTTATATGTGCAATTAATAAAATGTGATTTGATATATGATAGCGGTTGAGAGATAAAACAATTATTTTGAGAATTTTTTTATGTAACATTTGATTTTTTTCAAATGTTTAAAATTATTACTGTTAATAATGTGTATAAATTTTGATACTTTCCGTTTGTAATGCAATTAAGCGCAATATACTAAAATCATTATTAGCATTTTCTGATATAATCATTAAATTATTGTTGAAAAAACACAGGTGCAAGATGTTTTTCTTTGATGTTATATACTTGAAATGGAGGGGGCCCAGGGATACATGTTTACAGGTGGAGGCTCCAGATCCTCTGCTGTACCATGCTTGGGTTGGAGGTGCTAAATGGCACAGAATTCTTTTTATATAAACTTGTAAGCATCATGGTTCCTTGGTTATAAGCCAAATTTGGATATAAGCCAACCCCCTACTTCACGCCCAATTTTATGTACCAGCCAAGTGTAGAAAGGTGCACTATCCTTTGAAAGAGACACGTAAGCCATTTTTCCTCATGTGCAATATGACCCACGTGTACATTACAGAACGTAGTACTCTTCGGAAAGAAGGGGATTGCCTTCTGGTGTACTGCCCAATCACAAGAATAAGGATCCAACTGGAAATAAGCCTTCAGACTTTTTGTGGTCACCGAATACAGTAAATCCAATCCAAAAGTTTTAGTTTATTTCGCATCTTTTCACTTTAATATTCCACTACCATTTATTTTGAGGTCACAACAAAGGGAGAACGCAACTTCCCAAGTAGAGAATAAGATAGCATTTATATACAACAATCCATGTAGAGAATAAGATGGCATTTATATACAACAATCCATATATTTATATTACAAGTAGAGTGATGCCATAAATTTGATATTTTTTTTTTATTAACCAGAAAAATTATATACAAATTATAAGTCTTTCATACCGGTGTATTCAGCTGAAGGAATGAAAAATAAAATAAACTGGTATGATTAACAGTGAGAAAGTAGAGAATAAAGTGGTATATAAAGTAAAAATGATGACAAATAATATAGGTCCTGAATACAACAATCACATAATTATAGAGTGGCCAACATGTTTCATCTGAATTATGTAATTACTGTAAGTTTATAGATTTTTACAACAAAATTTTAGTTCAGGCAAGAGAAGTTAGAAAATATAATTACAGATGTAGATATCTGAGGAAAATATGTAAGTTACAGTCAACAACTTCCAAAATACAGGTATCCCTCTAAAGACTCCTCCAAGGAAAGACCACCTCCAATTAAAGACCACTTTTCTGTGGTCCCATATTAAATTGTCTTATGTTTATTATGCTAATTACAGATCAAAGCTGACCAAGGAAACCATGGTCACAAATATGGTCTTTAATGAAGGGAGACCTGTATTATAAATTTAGCTTTGCACTGTACTTAGTTGTGCATGTAAATTATCAACTGCACTCAAAAACATTTGAACATTTCAATCAGCCAATCAGAATTCATCTTTTATGGTAATCATTTGATTATCAATCTATCATTGAATATACTGTACATAAAAGAATAACAACTTTAGAATATAATTTATGTCAGCAACAGTGCTTATCATCTTAAAGAGAATGCTATATTGAGATAAAAGAGATAAAATATTATAATTCTGTAACATTCGATTTTTGTTGACTTGCTTAGTCCACTTGTGGGTTGTTTCGGAACAAGTATTCAGCCTGAAAGAGTAAATAAAATAAATGTGTGTCAAAGTACATTTTGCATTGTCATTTTGTGGGATCTTAGCAACCGCCCAAAATCGGAAAGTGTCCACATTTTTATGACAGACGAACTGATTATAGAAATTGGTTAATTTCTTTAATAAAGATTAGAGAATATAATGAAAATAATATATAAATAGTCCTACATTATATAATTTTCTTAGAGTATGGGGCTGAAATTCATTAAAACCTCTTGGAACCCCCGTTAATACCGAAGCTGCAATCCAAACAGCTTTCACGCGATGAGGATTCTAGGTGACCCCCATACCTGGGGAGCTCACTTGCATACCAACCGAACAGGGGGCTCTGCAGCCACTTCAATACATGAAACACTTGTGCTACCTATTTTTCCAAAATCGCACTGTGCTCTAAAAGATGACAGGAAAAAGGCCACTCAATAGTGCCACAGAGGGCGCAATTTTGAATGGTTCCCGATGCAGAAAGTGTTCCGTCCGGTCGCGATCTCGTAGCTGTACCAAAGGTAGGCTTAGCAAGGGGCTTTACCGGCTTAGGACCCAGTCTAGCTTAAACTGGGTGCTAACATCGTGCGGAAAATCGTGGCACTTTGATACAGGATAGGCCAGGGTCTTCATCTACCAATTTCACCCTGGTTATTTCCCACACTTGTGCTACAAAATCCTTGCAAGTATACCCCTTAAATGTTGTGACTTCCCCTATATTTCCCACATTTGTGCTACCAAGTCCTTGAAAATATACTCCGTAAATGCGGCACCTCCCTGTATAGAAATATTTAAGAATGAGCCCCCCCCCCAGGTCCCCACACACCAGTCGGTCCCTCACCACCCAAATAGGCTTACCAAATAATCAATGGCATCATCAGGGCGAACTCTACAGCAATCGATAAGCCCTTGTGTCAGTGTTGGCATCACATGTTTCATTAAGTAATTTCTGAGGGGTATCGACTGGGTTTCCAGCAGTTCTTGTTCCTGACGTTTCACCTCTTCTAGTCTGTTGGCCTGTTTGGTAAAACAAAGCATGAAGAATGCCAATATACAATCACTCTAAATTGAAACTATGCCGACACACAAAATCACTATTATTACATGCTGTAAAGTGTGGGCGATAGCTGTTTTAACAATAAGACAATAAGAATACTGTACTGTATGTTTAATTGCATTGATGGTTCAAGGACCCCACACCAGCCCCTAAACCCAGCCAATTATAAAAATCAAGGTTTCCCTACAGTAGATACCACTGTTCCTCAGCAGCCCTAATGAATATCTAAACCCCTCCCAACACTAATCATGCAAACAAAGAGCACATTCACTGCTACAGAAGAGATATAGTCTTTCTGGGTGTTCCTTCTAGATGGCACCAAGATGAGCCGAAGACTGTATACTCCCGCTATATACACTATTGTATCGTTTTGTAATTATTATGACACACACTTTCCTAAGCCAAAAATGCACAAAACACATACGAGCAGAAGTGCAGGAACGTACATAAAAAATATTTTAGATGTTTGTTTCATAGACAAAAGAGTTTCCCCTTAAGAGCCGAATAAAGGTAGTATATATATATATATATGAATTTGAATAAATATACCACTGACCAGAAATAATAAATATCAAAAATAAAAATTTATGGTAATTGTATTGTATAAGTGATGAAATAACACAAACCCATTCTGTTTGCCGTTTAATTGTTTCTGCCTTTTCTTCCGCCTCTTTCCTTTCTATTTCTTCCTTTTCTTCCAGTTCTTTTTTAAGCCTCTTTTCTGTTTTCAACCGTTCCATAACTTCAACCTCTTCAGGTGTTGGGCCATAATTTCGAGGCTCTCCCATTATTTTCTCGATCTGATCTACAATGTTTTGATTTTGTGGATCAGCTTCTTTGGCCACATCTGAAAAAATAATTCATATGAATGCCCATAAAATTAATGATTCTATCCATGGGCATAGGTCGGGGAGGGGTAACACATGCACCCCCCTCCAGATTGACAGAAAATTAGTTCCACTGAGTGAGTTAAAATACTCAATAGGGAGCTTTTGATTTGTTTGACGACGCGACACAAGAACGGAATCACTCATGTGTGACCATCCTACCGGTCATACATGCGGTCACACATAAGTGATATCTTTAAAAAACATCAGTTATATCTTTGGAAAACAATACAAGAAAAACAAAGCCAACCTATATGTTCAGGATGGAATTCCAATTCATCAAAATAGTTCAGTACGGTTGTGTCCTCTTCATTTAACACACGGAACTCCTGTAGCCTCCTCTGCAAGCCGTCTTCGGTGTTGTGTGTCCCTGCGACAACGCTCTCTGGAAGATTCATCACACGGTCTTTAAGGAACTCGTCAGTACAATTCAGGGAGATGATTACCTCTGGCATGATGCTTTTGTCGTATACCGGCATCTTGGAATTTTCTTCCTGTTCTTCTTCATCATCAACTGAATTGCAAAGAAAAAGAATACTTAAAGATAGAATATTCTCTGAAAACCATCTCAAAAATTGAATTGGTCTTTAAGAAAAGGATAAAGTAAGTTATAAACGTCGGATACATAGATTATTATTTAAAAAATTAATTTATAAACTTCTGAGACAAACCAATTCAGTTTTCACTGATTTACAAAGTTTTACTACAAAAATGCTTTAATTGATTAGCACTACCAAACTACAGAATATAAATTATCTAGTAATAATAATAACTACATTAAACTCTTGTTTGAAGGTTTGCATGAAGAAGTAACAATGGTAGCTTTGCAGTACACCACTACCTGTACTGCAAAACTATAATAATAATCATTTTATAAATGCACTTAACTGAAATTAAATAACCAAAGGCACAGAAATTATACCATAAATCTTTACAAAATATATCTTTCAACAACATTTAGATATATAATACTGATTGTTATATATACTACTTGAATACCTGCAAACAGCTCCCTCGCTTGCTCCATGGTCTTGGGATAGCCATCAAGGATGAACCCTTGGTTCTGGCATGGCATAGAGTGCAACTTGTCACGGAAAAACCGAATTATATACTGGTCCTCAATGCGTCCTGAAAAATTATGATTTATGAAAATAACATTTTTAAGTGATAAACATCTTTCATCTGTTTTCCAAGTCTGTGAAAAAAAAATTTGTATTGATCTGAAAAATAAACATTTGATTAAACCATCAAAATTGCTCTTTTGAAAAAAATAATTAAGTTATAAAGTTTTAATAAGCCACTGGTTGAAAAAAATCAATTCTCATTTATTTACATATTTTGTTACAAAAATCATTAAACAGCCAATTTAGGGATAAAAATCTATTTCATCCAAACTACTGTCTGTGAAAACAAAATTAATATTGATATGAAAAATAAACATTTAATTAAAACATCAAAAATCATTTGAAAAAATTAAGTTATACAGTTTTAAAGAGCAACTGGTTGAAACAATTCAATTCTCATTTATACATATTTTGTTAGAAAAATCATTACACAGCCAATTTAGGGATAACAAAAATTAGCAATATTATTAATGGGCAAGAAAAATATTTGTTTTTGTTATAATATTGATTAGAGTTAACATACAAGGAAAGCAATTCAATTTTTCAAAAAGTGTACAGCTCAACGGAGACAGTGTGTGTATTTCAAAAAAATGGTAGAGTTTTCAATTCTTTTACCACTGTTTGATTCCTTGCTTTCCATAATGGTTTCCAACAGTTCCTGATCTTCTTGGGCTTTTCCATCATCATCCTCATTCTCATCAGAGTCTGCACGAGCTGCACTTTTCTCCTAAAAACAGATTTGTGAGTAGATAATCATCTTACTTTGTTTCCTCCATGAAAATTAACTTTATAGGGACAACCGTCTCTTCCTACAGCTTGCTTGGCAAATCTAGGAATTTTTGTCTGTCAGACTTCACAATGTTTGATTAGACTGATTTGATTACTGTACGAGCTAGTCCATGCTTTTAGTGCTTCGAGACTGGTGTAAAGCGCTATATATCAAACTATTATTATTAGACTTAAAATAGAGTTCTGTGTAATTAAGCAGACAAGAAAAGACAGTCAATTTGTTTGATCAAGATAATTCTGAACCTATCATAACAATATCAGAAAAGTCTGATTAAATAATGTCTGACAAACAAAAAACCAGAAGAAGTTGATTTTTTCCATACAGTACTGCATCTTCCTCTATCATATTCATGCATTACTTATTTATGTTAATTACTGATAATAGATGGCACCCTGGTGTTTCATTGGCATTCTACCTGTCAAATTAGATCATGTAAAAAGTGAAAAGTATGTGGGTATTTTTAATGGAAGTTTCACCTAATGATCTGTAAAATATGTAAACCTTCAATAAGGATTTGATTTAGAAAAAAATTGTTCCGTAAAGACTGAAACTGATCACATACCAAGGTCTCAATGGCTTCGTTAATCACATCTTTAATTGAAATGTGGTGGAGTTTATACTTCTTGCACAGCGCCTGCACAATGCTCGTTTTACCGCTTGCTGGTGGCCCAAGAACACAGGCTCTCATTGGCTGTAAAAGAATTAGAAAACTTATTTCAAATGCAATGGCAGTGGCAGTGCCAGCGTATGAAGTCTGGAGTGGGGGGTTAGTGATGGGAAATGCTGAATTTGGAGGGGGGGAATATGTTTTCCCATAGTAGTAGACAGGAGATGACAAGCGCACTACCGGATAAGCGAATGCCTGCGTCAACTTCACTAAGCAATTTATATGGTTGGGTGGGAGGTGGGGAAGTGAGGGGGACAAATTCCCCCTTCTCCCATTAAACGCAGCCACTGTTCAAATGTTAAGGCATTCTCAGTAGTGAAACAAAGGTAATCTAAGGCTGCAGAGGTGGCTTATGATAAAATAAAAGAATAATGATAACAATAATCATTAATAATAATTTCACTACCACACACTAGCAGAAATTTGACAACAAAGGGTTTAAGTTTCCAAAAATTAGGGACTGCCAATCACAATAAATTTTTCGACAAGCATTTGACCCCTGACCACTCATTGGTGCTGACATATTTGAGGTGGAGCTGGTTTAGGGGTAGTAGCTTAGTTAAAGGTGCTCATTTTTCAATACCAAGGTCCTGAATTAAATCCAGGCCAAAAATGCTTCACAAGCCTTATCTACAAACTTGATTACAGTGCATCAAGTTCTGAAATCAAACACCATCAATACGGTATACGAAAGACTATACTGTATGAGAAGTAGTATGTTACCAATAATCCCCTTGTTTGTTTGTACTCTTTGATGACTTGGGGAATGGTCTCCATCAGACCGGTTTCTGCTACCCATCTTATGTTCATGTTTTCTTTTATGTACACACCATCCATTCGCAGGTTTACTAGCAGCCGATCAAAATCGCTTTGCTAAAAATAATAAAGAAAATACTTATTATCATTTTTAATATTTGTACATTTACATATTTAATCATTGTTGGTGAGGGTGGGGTGATACCTGTCTCTTATACACATCTAGATGTGTATAAGAGACAGTCCTACAGCTTGGCAAATCTAGGAA